AGCTGATAAATGCCATGTAGAGGAGAATTTAGCTGAAAAAATTACTTTTGTTTAAGTTTGGTTAGGTGAGGTTCTTAAGTAAAATGGGGTCCAAAAATAAAACTTTTCATATCATTATCATTGAAAAAAATATATCGATCAATCTGTAAAATTATTTTATACAAACATACACGCACACACGCACACACGCACACACGCACACACGCACACACGCACACACGCACACACGCACACACGCACACACAGGAGTAGGATGGGAAAAGTCGAACTACAAAAGGGGGGACTACACAGGTATGTGGAACTTCCTGCAGGAGGTTCGGTGGGACAGGGGATTGGTAGGAAAGTCAGTAAACGAAATGATGGAATATATAATAGCGAAATGCAAGGAGGCAGAGGAAAAGTTTGTTCCCAATGGCAACAGAAATAATGTGAAGACCAGAACGAGCCCCTGATTTACTCGAAGGTGTAGGAAGGCAAAAACTAAGTGCACTGGAGAATGGAAAAACTACAGAAGGCAAAGAACCCAGGAAAATAAGGAGATTTGTCGAAGAGCCAGAAACGAGTATGCACAGATTAGGAGAGAGGCCCAGCGACAATACGAAAACAACAGCATCGAAAGTCAAGTCTGACCCGAAACTGCTGTATAGCCACATTAGGAGGAAGACAACAGTCAAAGACCAGGTGATCAGGCTGAGGAAAGAAGGTGGGGAACTCACAAGAAACGATCAAGAGGTATGTGAGGAGCTCAACACGAGATTGAAGGAAGTATTTGCAGTAGAGATAGGAAGGGCTCTGGGAAGACAGCACAGAGGGGAACACCAACAGGGAATATACCAACAAGTGTTGGACGACATACACACCACTGAGGAGGAGGTGCAGAAGCTGCTCAGGGACCTTGATACCTCAAAGGCGATAGGACCAGACATCTCCCCGCGGGTCCTTAGAGAAAGAGCAGAGATGCTGTGTGTCCAACTAACCACAATCTTCAACACATCCCTTAAAACTGGGCAACTACCTGAGGTATGGAAGATGGCAAATTTAGTCCCCATTTTTAAGAAAGGAGACAGAAATGAGACACTAAACCTCAGACCAGTGTCACTGACGTGTATAGTATGCAAAGTCATGGAGAAGATTATCAGGAGGAGAGTGGTGGAGCTCCTGGAATGGAACAAGATTATAAACGACAACCAGTACGGATTCATGGAAGGCAAATCCTGTGTCACAAACCTTCTGGAGTTTTATGGCAAAGTAACAGAGGTAAGACACGAGAGAGAGGGGTGGGTTGATTGCATTTTCTTGGACTGCAGGAAGGCCTTCGACACAGTTCCTCACAAGAGTTTAGTGCAGAAGGTGGAGGATCAGGCACGTATAACAGGAAGGGCACTACAATGGATCAGAGAATACCTGACAGGGAGGCAACAACGAGTCATGGTACGTGATAAGGTGTCACAGTGGGCACCTGTGACGTTCGGGTCCCACAGGGGTCAGTCCTAGGACCAGTGCTATTTTTGGTATATGTGAATGACATGATGGAAGGGATAGACTCAGAAATGTCCCTGTTTCGCAGATGATGTGAAGTTAATGAGGAGAATTTAATCAGATGAGGATCAGGCAGGACTACAAACAGACCTGGACAGGCTGGACACGTGGTTCAGCAACTGGCTTCTCGAATTCAACCCCGCCAAATGCAAAGTCATGAAGATTAGGGAAGGGCAAAGAAGACCGCAGACAGAGTATAGGCTAGGTGGACAAAGACTGCAAATCTTACTCAAGGAGAAAGATCTTGGGGTGAGTATAACACCGAGCACGTCTCCGGAAGCACACATCAAACAGATAACTGCTGCAGCATATGGGCGCCTGGCAAACCAGAGAATAGCGTTCCGATGCCTTAGTAAGGAATCGTTCAAGACACTGTACACTGTGTATGTCAGGCCCATACTGGAGTATACACTGGAGGACAGGAGGGTCAGGAGAGACATGATAACGACGTACAAAATATTGCGTGGAATAGAAAAGGTGGACAGACAGGATGTTCGAGGAAGGGGACGCAGAAACAAGGGGTCACAACTGGAATTTGAAGACTCAGACGAGTCACAGGGATGTTAGGAAGTTTTTCTTCAGTCATAGAGTTGTCAGGAAGTGGAATAGTCTAGCAAGTGATGTAGTGGAGGCAAGAACCATACATAGTTTTAAGAAGAAGAATGACAAAGCTCAGGGAGCAGAGAGAGAGAGGATCTTGTAGCGATCAGTGAAGAGGCGGGGCCAGGAGCTGAGTCTCTTTCCCTGCAACCACAATTAGGTGAGAACTGCGAGAAACCCCTTTCACGTGCCTTCAGCATTCTGTGGAGAGGGAGCATGGACACAGGGGTCATCCCACAGTCACTAAAATCAACAGACGTAGCCCCCACTCCACAAAGTTGGCAGTAAAGCAATTGCAAATAATTACAGAACGACAGTACTAACGTCATAAAAATCTTTGAAAGGGTTCTAAGAAGCAAGATCACTACCCAGTTAGATACCTATCAGTTGCACAACCCAGGGTAGCATGGGTTTAGAGCGGTCGTTCCTGCCTTACCCAACTACTGGACCACTATGATTATGGTATTGGATGCTATGGAGGAAAAACAAAAAGCAGATGTGGTATACACAGACTTTGTGAAAGCCTTTGACAAGTACGATCATGGTGTAATAGTACACAAAACACAAAATTCGTGACAAAAGAATAACAGGAAAAGTAAGCAGATGGGTTTATAACTTCCTAACAAATAGAACACAAATAGTAATAGTAAGCAGAGTAAAGTCATAGGTGGTTACAGTGAAAAGCTCTGTTCCACAAGGCACAGTACTCGCTCCCATCCTGTTCCTCATCCTCATATCTGACATAGAGATGTAAGCCACAGCACCGTGTCTTCCGTTGCAGATGATACCTGAATTTGCATGACAGTGTCATCCATCGGAGACATTGCAAATCTCCAAACAGACATCAACCAATATGAAGTTCATTGAAGATAAATTTCAATTATTCGGCTGTGGAAGATTCGAGGAAATTAAAATTGTATCGGAATATAAAATAAATTCCAGCCACACAATAGAGCTAGAAACTAATGTGAAGAACCTGGGACTTATAATGTCAGAGAATCTCATTTTCAAAGATCACAACAATGTATCTCCCACATCAGCTAGGAAAATGATAGGATGGATAATGAAAACCTTCGAAACTAGGGATGCCAAGCCCATGATGATTCTCTTCAAATCGCTTGTTCTCTCTAGGTTAGAATATTGCTGTACACTAACGACCCTTTTCACGCAGGCGAAATTGCAGACCTTGAGAATATACAGAGAACTTTCACAGCACATATAAGTACGATAAAGCACTAAAAGTTACTGGGAATGGTTGAATTCCCTTGATTTGTACCCCCTGGAACGCACGCGAGAAAGATACATGACAATATACACTTGGAAAATTCTAGAGGAACTAGTCCCAAATCTGCACACGGAAATCACTCCCTACGAAAGCAAAAGACTCGGCAGGAGATACAACATCCCCCTAAGTGAAAAGCAGGGCCTCACGATTACTCTAAGTAAGTGTCAGGGGCCCAAGACTGCTCAACTGCCTCCCAGCCCCAATAAACCTCTGGCTGTCTTCAAGGAGCTGGATAAGCACCTAAAATCAGTTGAGCTCAGCCGGACTGTGCTTCGTACGTCTGTTTACTTGCTTCCAGCAGTGACAGCCTGAATGATCCAGTCCTGATCCACCGCGGAGCCTGGTCACGGACAGGGCCGCGGGGGCGTTGACCCCCTAAACCCCCTCCAGGTATATATGTAATTCTTAATAAGCCGAACATGCCGAAGAGGCCGAACTCCATTAAAAGATCAATTTTTCCAAAAAAATCGTTTGCAGAATGATAGATAATTTTTTTTTCATTGACAACGGTATAACAAAAATTAGATTTGGAATAAAATTAACTTAAAAACCTCGCCTAACTTTTTTAGCTCAATTTTGCTATATATATATTATAGATGAATTTAAATTAATTTAATATTACAATCAATGAAATATATATTTTTTTGTATTAAGTTCAGGTTTCCGCTGATTTATGGCAAAAACAAATGTTCACTCTGCTAATTCGGCAGAGAACACCCTTGGCAGGTAGGCCAAACTCGCCGGTTCGGTTATATATATATATATATATATATATATATATATATATATATATATATATATATATATATATATATATATATATATATATATATATATAACTATATATATATATATATATATATATATATATATATATATATATATATATATATATATATATATATATATATATATATATATATATATATATATATATATATAATGGTGTGGGACAAATGTGTTTATGGCCAAAACAAAGGTAATTATTTGCAAGTAGTGTGTTCGCATGATTAATAAGAACTGGGTAAATATTCAGTCTTCACTCTAGCCTGAGAAAGTCACATTCGCTTTACAGAGTTTGTGGCAGTGAGGAAGCGCAAAAGTGGAGGTAGCAGCAATATCAGATCAAGTGTGTGTAACAGTACATTTGTGAAGTGGCCACTGTTCAGTGTGTGAAGAGTGAGCTTCCACTGGTCACTCTTCACACAGGTTGTTACAGAGGTGAAGGGCCAAGTGTTGTCTAGGAAGTGTGATGCAGGTTGATACAATACAATAGTGAGGTTGTCAGTTGGGTGAGTGTGAGTGAACACGAGACCTAAACTGACTAGAGAGTTACTTCTGCAAGTTTTAGTGGGTTGTGTTATGAGGATATTAGTCACGCACGGGAGACGAGGTAGGTCATGTGAAAGTCACATGTATATTGAAAAGGTGTGTATGGTAGGTGATAAGAGAGGGATGAGGAGGAATGGAAGAATGAGGCGAGGAAGGAAGAGGAGATTAAAGAGGAGAGGGCATAGGAATCGGTGTAGTGGAAGCAGTGGAGTGAGAGTGGTTACGGCATCTCCACTCCACTTACCGGTTTCCATGGGTAGCAAGGCTGTAGGGAGAGACCATCCGCTGGCATGCGGCATCACACGGAAGAAAAAAAACCAGGATATCAAATCAGTGAGTGTATCAATAAGCTGTGAGCATAACGGAGCCCCTGAGGGTCTCCAGCAGCATCGCGTCATCACCTGATTGAACTCGTAAACACAACTGGTGAGAAAAACGCACCTCAAACTAATCAGTTTGTGAAGGCATAGCAAATATTTAATTTATACTTAGGAGTGTAGCTTAAATTCTACTCTATGAATTTTTAAAGGCAGTGTTTTTATAAGTGTCTGCTTTTGCCCAGTTTATCTCGTGGCATTTACGAGCTCATGTGTCCGGGTATGGCGTAGCATCACATACATTTGAAAAAGAAGAATCAGCTAAAAAATGAAAAATTTAAGTTAATTTTAGCACTTTTTTAACACAACACCATTAATTACTTCTCAAATTCTCATGAAATTAAATTACATGAATGTGATTACATATGATACTTTAGTTGAGATTTATGTAATAAGGCAGTGAAGTGGCTATGAATTGGCAGCTACTGAGAAAGAGAGAAAGAGAGAAAGAGAGAGAGAGAAGTGAGGCGAGGTGAAGGATGCTAATAATGGACAACCATGGGAGTGGAAATGATTGAAAAAAGTTAATGAAAAAAAGTTATGATCTCAAAAGTCGACAGCCAAAATAAAAAAAAGGCCAAAAATTTTAATACTTTTGAAAATGAGAAAGCTGACCTTAAATAAATAAATATTAATACGTTGAACGAAGGCCAGTGGCATATGTAACTAATATATGTCAACAGGCTTTGAGAGGTTGCTGGAGAAAATTTACCAGAGTTCCAAACAAATATATACTATATATGAAACCATCAAGGTGGGAGAGAGAGTGCCTTGATGATTATAAAGAACTCTTGATCTGAATACAGTATACATGTATATTATATATTAACTTTAAAAGGCCAAACATGAAAGTCTACGGCAGTTTCCTCCCAGTTATCAGAAGACAAAGTAATGGCACCTCAGAGTGATGAGTGGAGCAAGTCATGGCACCTCAGAGTGATGAGTGGAGCAAGTCATGGCACCTCAGAGTGATGAGTGGAGCAAGTCATGGCACCTCAGAGTGATGAGTGGAGCAAGTCATGGCACCTCAGAGTGATGAGTGGAGCAAGTCATGGCACCTCAGAGTGATGAGTGGAGCAAGTCATGGCACCTCAGAGTGATGAGTGGAGCAAGTCATGGCACCTCAGAGTGATGAGTGGAGCAAGTCATGGCACCTCAGAGTGATGAGTGGAGCAAGTCATGGCACCTCAGAGTGATGAGTGGAGGAAGTAATGGCACCTCAGAGTGATGAGTGGAGCAAGTCATGGCATCTCAGAGTGATGAGTGGAGCAAGTCATGGCACCTCAGAGTGATGAGTGGAGCAAGTCATGGCACCTCAGAGTGATGAGTGGAGCAAGTCATGGCACCTCAGAGTGATGAGTGGAGCAAGTCATGGCACCTCAGAGTGATGAGTGGAGGAAGTCATGGCACCTCAGAGTGATGAGTGGAGAAAGTCATGGCATCTCAGAGTGATGATTGGAGAAATTCATGTGATGAATGGAGAAAGTCATGGCATCTCAGAGTGATGAGTGAAGAAAGTCATGGCATCTCAGAGTGATGAGTGAAGAAAGATAAATATTGTATAGCAAGGACAAAGTATTAGAGTGATGAGATACTGTATTTTAAGGGATGGAATAACAGGACTTGATAGACAGGGAACTAAAATATTGAGGAGAGTAACAGTGAAACAGTACATAAGCTAGGGAAATACAATATAAAGAGTGAGTACTGAGGATAACGGGTCTGTAGAAACTATCTGTCAAGAAGAGGATAGAGATTATTTGCCAAGATGATAAAAAGCTATTAACTATTTGAAGTTTTCTCTCTTATAGTGTCACAGATTGTTAAATACAGTTAGTCAGAGTAAAAAAACCTGAGAGTTTCGTGAAAGAGAGGTAATGAACTGAGAGTTTTCAGGAAAGAGAGCTAATGACCTGAGAGTTTTGGAAAAGAGTTTGAGAAATAATGATCTGAGAGTTTCAGGAAAGTGAGTTCTTGGTACTATGAGACCCTTAGCTGGGACAGTGAAGAATAGGGCTAACCTGAACACGGATTACCATTTAGATCCCTAGAACTTAAATTAGGAATGAAAATGAATGACTTGTAGAGTGAAGAAAGAGCTTGGAAGAGTAGAAGTGTAGCAGAAGTTCAGTGTCACCAGATTTGGGATATGCCCTTACCTAACTGGCTGCAACATAATGTACAACATTTAGTCAATATAGCTAATTCTAATTAAAATATCGGTTTACCATGTGCTGGTCATCCCCTGCAATTGCAATCACCATGCAGTGAAACATGTCAATAGGCATTATAAATTTAATTGTATGTTATAAGAGAAAACTTTTTTTATATACTAGCACAAGAATAATTTTAACACCACTGTTAACTTTTATCATAAATGAAATGAGTCAGTACAATATTCATAATATATTAAATGATACTAATATTTATATAATCTAAGAAGGGGCCTGTTTCACATCTAAGTTTTTGATGACTAGTCTTGGAACTGAGATTTAAATGATATTTTTAATTTATTTCTCTTGTTGATATAGACTCATAAAATGCAATCATTGGTAGAAGACAACATAAAAATCAAGGCAGATTGAAGTCTTACACTCAGCACGTCCCTCGAAGAATCCCGAGAACTTATCAATGTCGTCGAAGAGTCCAGTTATGTTGTTAAGCCGACAGCAGAAAGCTTCGAACTTGCCAAAGACATACTGCTCACTGAAGCTGAATGGTCTCTCTCCAGGCATGGACTCCAGCTTCTCCTTCCAGAGCCAGATCAATGTTATTTAATATAGCGTTGCCGACAAGTAGTAAAAAAAGAACATACAGCAAAAGGGAACATTTATTAGTTCGAAGTTTCACCATCAGACAACAAGTAATTGATCAAGTACATGATGTGTCTTTCAACAGGTCATTGTTACTACCATGGTACGTCACTGTGCCTGGGCAAGTCTGAACTCTACCTGCCAAGCTATTTTAACCTCACTCTCACAGTGAATCAAATACAACTATATAGTCTGATCTCCAACTTGTTAAGATATATATGTTCCTAGTCTGACGCTTGAAGGCTACTAGATCCAAGGAAATAACATTACTTTCCTCTTCTTGGATGAAACCTGATTGCATCCCATTCCCCAGGTGCTGTATTACCTACAAGAACGGGAGGCAATCAGGTTTCATCCAAGGAAGGAGAAAGTAGCGCTGTTTCTTTGGATTACTATCTCTTAAGCATCATGGCAGCCAAATGGCTCATCACAGTTCCGTAAAGGTATACTACACTAGTATGACACCAGCAGGTTTAACACTTCCCTGTGAGAATAATAATAATAATAATAATAATAATAATAATAATAATAATAATAATAATAATAATAATAATAATAATAATAATAATAATAATAATCATGATTTTTGTCAACATCATACATCGATTAGCAAAATCTCGAATATTTCTCCTGCAGTACCAGAACATATTCTCCTTGGAGTAAACAAATATTTATTCTTTTCGTCAGTGTTCAGTAGAAACAGAGCGTTGAACTTACTTTTGTTTTTTGGTAAGCGTTTCTGTAAGTAGAGTTCAGCTTGAGACAATGTTGTATCTTACTCCGTACCTCCTGACGTGGCTGTGACCAGATGGATTCTTGCCCCTGGCATGATATGTACACTTGACATGCCCGGATCATCTGGTTGGTAATCTGAAGACAATAAATGAGAGAATCGTTAAATTATGATTATCTTGATGTTACTCGACTATTTTCATCCTACACATCCCTCAAGGTGACATGGGAAGTATGTTGAAATGTTTGTTTAAAATATAAATATGGATTGACCAACTACACACAGTATAACTATATTTATTTACTGTGTTCACAGTTGATGATTCAGGATTGAAAAATTTGGAGAACGGGACTCCAGGAGTCTGTGTTATTTGTGTCAACAGTAATTGCCAGAGTAAAGTATCTCACAAGTTCCCACAGTACAAATCAAAGGCTATTCTCAAATTATAATACGGCAACATTTAATGGAAAAATGAGAGATAAAGAAACGCTTAGTGATCCCAATATGGGAATCCTGATGACCAAATAGTTCTTGTGGGAAAATCCTCCTTGAAACACCATATTTCCTTAAAATAAGTCTTCCTCAATTTTTCATTTTAATCTTTCAATACTCTTAATCGCTTTATTTTAATATTATACAGAATATTTTAATATAATGACATAAAAACTCGGAACTTGTGAGGTTAGAACCTCACGTCGAGTGAGTCTCGTAAAATTCATCAGTAAAAACTTGCATTTGTGATCAGACTGGGGCCCTTCCTCATCTCACTACAGTGTATAAATATACCTAGTTGAGTAACTGCATGTTGCTACCAGCAGTAACAAAACCTACAAGAGTTACAGAGACTAGTGTTTCCCTACTAGACCACATCTGGACCAACACCATATCCCCATTAAAATCAGGCATAATCACAGATAATACCACAGATCACTACCCTACCTTCCTCATCACAAACCTTGGCAAATTACCCCTAGACACTACTAAAGTCACTTTCAGACTTCACAATGAGGCAGCCATTAATAACTTCACAGCAGCAGTGACAAACATTGACTGGCACACTGAGCTAGAAATCTATACAGATATTGACGAATGTATTAATAATTTTCTAAAAAAGACCCAATGCCTTTATAACAAGCACTGCCCAAAAAAAGCTAAACAGATGACAGCTAAGAGACTAAACAGTCCCTGGCTAACACTCAGCATCCTCAAATCCATAAATACAAAGCACCTATACGAAAAACAGTACAGAATGTCACATAACCAGAGGCTAAACAAAACGTTACTCGTCAATGCTAACCAGCCTGATAAGAAGGGCTAAAGAACTGTATTATGAGAACAGATTATGCAACTTACGAGGTGATATAAAAAAGACCTGGAAAACCCTATCAGCAATTCTAGGAACAAAAAATATATCACGAAATAGCGAAATTGAATTAACAAAACCAAATGAACCCCAACTCCCACCAACTGAAACAGCAAACAGACTCAATAATTTCTTCTCCACTATAGGACAAAACCTTGCCAATAAAATCCCAAGCTCAGATACCCCACCCAATGACTACCTCACTGGCAACTACCCGAACACACTGTTCCTAGCTCCGACTAACCCTAAAGAAGTCTCCCTTATTATCAACACACTAAAAAAAAAGACAGGAGATTTAAATACTTTACCACCCTTTATATACAAAAAAGCGCCACAGGTACTATCACCAATCATTGCAACACTCTTTAACAAATCCATAGAATCCTCTACCTTCCCTACAGTTCTCAAAATAGCAAAGGGTCACCCGATCCATAAAGGAGGAGACCAAACAGACTTGAATAACTATAGGCCAATATCCAACTTACACCCTCTCTTTAAAATCTTCGAAAAATTAATTCACAAGCGAATCTATTCCCACCTCATCTCCCACAACATACTCAACCCCTGTCAATTTGGGTTCAGGCCTAATAAAAATAAATACTAATGATGCTATTATACACATGCTAGAACACATATACACTGCAATAGAGAAAAAAGAAGTCCCACTGGGGATCTTCATAGACTTACGTAAAGCTTTTGATACAGTTGGCCATGACTTGCTCCATATAAAATTGTCGCACTATGGTATAAGAGGGCACTCCCTCAACTACCTAAAGTCTTACCTCAGTAACAGAAGCCAATATGTGTACACAAACGGGGCAAACTCTTCAGCACAGCCAATTACAGTTGGTCTCCCACAGGGAAGTGTCCTAGGCCCTCTTCTCTTTCTCATATACATAAATGACCTACCAAATGCATACCTGGAGGTTACCTGGAGGTTATTCCGGGGATCAACGCCCCCGCGGCCCGGTCCATGACCAGGCCTCCCGATGGGTCAGGGCCTGATCAACTAGGCTGTTACTGCTGGCCGCACGCAGTCCAACGTACGAGCCACAGCCCGGCTGATCCGGCACTGACTTTAGGTATCCGTCCAGTTCTCTCTTGAAGGCAGCCAGGGGTTTATTGGCAATTCCCCTAATGCTTGATGGGAGGCTGTTGAACAGTTTTGGGCCCCGGACACTTATGGTATTTTCCCTTAGTGAAACCAATGGCGCCCCTACTTTTTATTGGGGACATTTGCTTTGCCTGCCCAGTCTTTTACTTTCGTAGGGAGTGATTTCTGTGTGCAGATTTGGGTTTCATTCCTTCCAAGATTTTCCAAGTGTAGATTATGATATATCTCTCCCTCCTGCGTTCCAACGAGTACAAGTCAAGTGCTTCCAAGCGTTTTTCAGTAGTTAAGGTGCTTGACAGAACTTATACGTGCAGTAAAGGATCTCTGTACACTCTCTAGATCTGCGATTTCACTGCTTTGAATGGAGGAGTTAAATGTACAGCAGTTTTCCAGTTAGGAGAACAAGTGATTTTGAAAAGGATCAATCATGGGCTTGGCATCTCTCGTTTTAAAAGTTCTCTTTATCCATCCTATCATTTTCTTTGCACGTGCGATCGTGGCACTGTTGTGATCCTTGAAAGTGAGATCCTCAGACATTACTACTCCCAGGTCCCTTACATTATTTTTCGCTCTATTGTAGGGCCCGGAGCCCAGTAGTATACTCTGTTTAGTTTTTATCTCCTCCAGTTTTCCATAACGGAGTAGTTGGAATTTGTCCTCATTGAACATCATATTGTTTCCCGTTGCCCACTGGAAAACTTTTTTTAAATATCTTCTTGGAGGTTAACCGCGTCTCAGCAGATGACAGCCTCATGCAGATCCTAGTATCATCCGCAAAGGATGATACGGTGCTGTGGTGTATATCTCTGTTTATGTCTGATATGGGGATAAGGAATAAGATGGGGGCGAGTACTGTGCCTTGTGGAACAGAGCTCTTCACTATGGCAGCCTCCGATTTAAACTCTGTTGACCACTACTCTTTGTGTTCGATTTGTTAGGAAGTTGAAGATCCATCTCCCCACTTTCCGTTATTCTTTAGCACGTATTTTATGGGCTATTACGCCATGATCGCATTTGTCAAATGCTTTTGCAAAGTCTGTGTATATTACATCTGCATTCTGATTTTCTTCCAGTGCATCCAAGGCCATGTCATAGTGATCCAGTAGTTGTGAGAGGCAGGAGCGACCTCCCCTGAACCCATGTTGCCCTGGATTGTGCAGTTTTTGGGGAAATCCAGGTGATTTGCAATCTGCTTCTTAGCACTCTTTCAAAGATTTTTATGATGGGGAGTCAGAAGCTATTGGTCTATAGTTCTTAGTAATGCTTTGCTGCCACCTTTATGGAGTGGGGCTATATCCGTTGTTTTAAGTGACTGTGGAATTTAAACCATGTCCAAGCTCCTCCTCCATAGTGTACTTAGGGCACGCGAGAGGGGTTTCTTGCAGTTCTTAATGAAACAGAGTTCCACGAGTCGGGGCCCCCGGGGCTGAGTGCTAGGCATGTTGTCAATGGCTTTTTGAAATCTATCGGAGTTGGGTAAAGTCGGAAATCTGGCATACAAATTTTGGAGTTTTGAGGCTCATTCATGAAGAAATCATTTTGGGTCGTCGATCCCCAGACCGATTAGTGTTCACTAAACACGAGTGTACTGGGGTTTCAATTTTCACTCATTTCTTCTGTTGTCGTCTGTGTAAGTCCCATCCTGTTTGGTTAGGGCCCGATATTAGATGTGTATTTGCCCTTTTGTTGGCATATGAAATGAAAATTTTGAATTTCTTTCAATTTCACTAATGCTTTAAGCTCTCTTGCCTCTCCTGGTTCCTGTAAGGGGCCTTTTAGCTTAAGTTCGATAGTTTCCACTTCCTTGGTAGGCGCCCCCTTTCGTGTATTTAGTTTTTTAGCATCCCGGAGCTCAGTGGCTCTTCGTCGTCTTCTGTAAGGGAGGTCTTTTCTCTCAGTTACTTCCTGCTTCTTTCTTTGGGAAAGGGCCGAACATGCTTCGCTTACCAGGAATATCCTTTCAAGCAATGGTTTTGGGTCCATGTCATTTAAGACCTTCCCAACTGTTCGTTTTAGGAATTTGGGTTTTCCCCGGTCCCCGGGTTTATGTTCTGTTTTTGAAATTGTATTTTGTGAAGACCTTCAAGGGCATGCATTCTGCTGTTCGGACCCCTTTTTGCTTAGTTTTGGACTTCGATTAGTTGGATCAGAATTAGTTGGTTTTGAATTCTATGTCTCTTATCCGGTCCAAATTTTGTGAAGATAGGGTCAGTGTGTTTTCTGTTCGTGGCTCCACTATTGCTGGTTAGGTGTGGGTTTTGCAGAGACTGTGTCATGGTGTGTGACCTTTCATCTGGCTACCCCCGGGGATGTTCAGCTATACATTTTTTGTACATCTTCATTTTGATGCTTAGGGTTTAATCACAAGCAGTAAGAAGTTTGGGGATGGGAGCGGAAGGTTTCCCAAAAAGGAATCGATTTCGTAGCTGTTTCCTTTATGTGTGAGGTTGCATTTTGGTGGTTGAAACCACATGACTAGGTTTTGGTTCTCAATCTTTATTGATAGACTTCAATACCTCATTTGTGGTGTTCAGCACTCGTGCAGAAAGGGGGCTCTTGACATACAGGCCAAACCCCCTGTTGCCTGTTTTTCTGTGCATCAAAAGGTTGAACCACTTATATATTCACTGTAAATGGGTCTTGGGGTGAGTCTCGGGGAAGGCGCAAAATTGCATTAGATCCCAGAAGTCATGATAAAAGGTATTTGTTGTTGGGGAGGCTTAGGCCTGTATATTTAGCAATATGAACGAGGTGGATTCTGGTTTGTTGGGGGGGATTTTGTTATTGGGTCAGTGTTGTAATTTGGAGGCATGGGTGGCCACTGGCGCGCCTCAGTCCACAAGGCTCAAGGGGTGGACTATTTGTTATTTCTTATTTTCTTTTTTCGTTTCTGCCTAAAAACACCGGAAATTGGGTTGTCGGTGTATATTTTTGTTTGTAGCGCTGTGCTCCTGGTCCCTTTAGATGGTATGCGGGCCTCGATGTTGAACAGCTTCGGAGGACCGAGAGTGGCACATTTTTGGGTGAAAGAAGTACAGGAGAAGAACGACACACCTTGAAGGAGGCACTCTTTTTTGGGATGGTCAAGTTGCATGTCCCATTTTTTCCCGGTTATTCCATGCTGACAGATGCCCCAAGATAATATTTTCACAAATTCACCTTTGGTTGGAATGTTGGGAGGTGTGTTGTCAATTTTGCGGTTCTGGGGACTGCACTAATCCAGTATCAAGCCAGGGCCACCGCCTGGATTCTTCTACTTTCCCGTAGAGGAGAAGGAGGAGACTCTCTCCAAATCTGGACTGTGGGCCGGTCTTTTGAAGAGGTTGTTATTCGGTTTTAGGATGGTTGTATATTTACTGTTTTGTGGTGGTTTGGGTGTGTCCCTGGAGAGTCTGGGCTGGCAGTAAGGGGGGGGGGCTGGGTTGGGTCAGCTGGGGCTGGGGGCGGGGGTGGGGTCTGGGTCAGCGGCTGGGCTGGGCCAGCCGCATGTGGGTATTAGTGCTGACTGGGGGGTCCTGGGCAGCACCAGCACTGTGGGGGATTGGTGCATGCCTGGGGGAGCTGGGCCGCACCAGCACTGTGGGATTAGGTTATTGCTGGGGGAGCCCGGGCAGCACCAGCATGTGGGATAGTGATGACGGGGGGCGGGCCCGCACCAGCACTGTGGGTATTGGTGCTACCTGGGGGAGCCTGGCCAGCACAGCATGTGGGTATTAGTGCTATGCCTGGGGGGGCTGGGGGCCCGCACCAGCACGGTGGGTATTAGTGTTTGCTGGGAGCTGGCCACACACACATATTTGCAGTGACACTAATACGTCTTCTCTCGACCGAGCCGTCAGCTAGCAATTCTGTAAATACCGATTCAGAAAATATCTACTGGATGGTCTAACAACTTTCTCTAAACATTGACAAAACCTATTTCATTTTAGTTGGTAAGAGCTACAGACGTCCCTCTAACATAAAGAAACGGATACCTTTCACAAAACTCACAGAGGAAAATTCTTAGGAATCCCCCTTGATAATAGACTCAATTTCAAACACATTCAACAAATTTCCCAAAAAAATTTCCAAGACCCTAGCATACTATCGAAGATAGGTACTTGTGCCCCAGTCAGCCCTTCCTGGCCCTATATCCCCTCACTTATTTACCCTATCTCACCCATAATTACCCAAAAGGCTGCAGTCAATGATAACAAATTCCCACTACAGGGGCACACTCCACCAATATTTCAAAACTCTAAACCTATCACCATTCAAAACATCCATATTATTACTGCAACCTATACATTCATAGAACACTTATTCTGATATAAACATTCCCCTCAAACGTCTCCTTGCCAACCTCAACAGAACACATGACCATAATACAAGGCACAGATCACTCTTTGATGTTCCTCGTGTCCATCTCACGCTATGCAAAAACTCAATGCACATAAAAGGCCCTAAAATCTGGAATTCATTACCTGTGAATATAAAAGAAACACTGTTTATAAATTCAAGTCTCTTCTCAAAAGTCACTTTCTCACCCACAACTAAATAAATACTGAATAATTATATCTCATAAATTGTATCTCGTAAATGTTTCTCATTATTGTATCTCATAAATGTCTTACCTGTGACCCAATCAAACTTTATTTTTGAATTACATTACCAAACAGAATACTCCAATCTACTGAATGCTCAACAACACAGTAAATGACCATATGATCTGTCTTTGTAATACTCATTTGTGCTAAATTGTTATCTGTTTACAATAATGTATTTACCACTGAATATATCATTGCTTAGTTAATCTTAAGTTAATTTTAAGCCTGCCCATAATGCTCTGCATACAAGGGGCTTTGGCATGTTGCACTGTAATAACTTTGTACTTCACTGTATCATGTTCAAATTAATAATAAATAAATAAATAAATAAATAAATTGTAGTCAGCTGGTCCAGTGGCTTACGCAATGGCCTCGAGTTTTACGACTCACTCAATATGGGTTCAAGCCCCACCCGTTCCTGGTTTATAATCGTGTTATTACGATTTCGTGACACATAAATCACATTTTACATATATAGTTTGCTATTTCATATTGTAGTATATTATTTATACTATTTTGCATTATTATATATAGAATGGTAAACTTGTATCTATGTGATGAATGGTTTTGAAAACCGACAAGTTGAAGAATTGAGACACTTATGCAACACATGGGAATCTTTATTGAAGAAACGTTTCGCCACACAGTGGCTTCATCAGTCCAATACAAAGTAGAAATGGGTAAGGAGAGTAGAAGTTTGAGGTAATCAGTCCCTCAACCTGGAATCGATGTGTTCAGTCCATCACTCTTGTAGGAAGTGATGGACTGAACACATCGATTCCAGGTTGAGGGACTGATTACCTCAAACTTCTACTCTCCTTACCCATTTCTACTTTGTATTGGACTGATGAAGCCACTGTGTGGCGAAACGTTTCTTCAATAAAGATTCCCATGTGTTGCATAAGTGTCTCAATTCTTAAACTTGTATCTAGTAAAGTCCCTTTGGTTCCTGAACTTTCAAATGACACTCAATGTTTTAATTAAAATTTGATGTCCATTAAATGTATTGGATGGCGGTATTCTTCAACACAGGATAAAGTTGGGCACACCAGAAGTGATCTCACCTTGATGAGCAGAGCTGAGAGTTTATCCGAAGTGTTGTAGTACTTGGAGATGGAGTGAATCATCCGCACTGTGTTGAACAACATCATGATGTATGGAATCATTCCAGGCTGTAGGAATGACAACATTTTATTCCAGGTCTGAAGGAATAACTGAGTATTATTCCAGAACTTTGGAAATAGTTGTGTTTTACTGCAGGGTTCTGGGAACAGTTGTGTTTTATTGCAGGGTTGTAAGAACAGTTGTATTTTATTGCAGGGTTGTAAGAACAGTTGTATTTTTTTTCCAGGGTGTGGGAAAAATTGTGTTTTATTCCAGGGTTGTGGGAGCAATTATCTTTTATTGTGGGGTTGTGGGAACAGTTGTGTTTTATCCTGGGGTTGTGGGAACTGTGGTGTTTTATTGCAGGGTTGTGGGAACCGTTATCTTTTATTGCAGGGTTGCGGGAACAGTTATGTTTTATTATGGGGTTGTGGGAATGTTGTGTTTTATCCTGGGGTTGTGGGAACGGTTATGTTTTATTCCAGGGTTGTGAGAACAGTTGTGCTTTATTACAGGGTTGTAAACAGATATATTTTATTCCTGGGCTTTGAGAACAAATGTGTTTTGGCTCTAGGGTTTAAGAATAAGTTTGTTTATAGGTTTAACAAGAATGTTTTAGGTCCAGTGTTTGAGAATAAGTGTTTTAGTTTTAAGGTTTTAGAAAAGTATTTTAGTTCTAAGATTTATGAAAATGTGTTTTATTTCTAAGGTATCAAGAAAAGTGTTTTATTTGTAAGTTTTCAGGTAAAATGTTTTAGTTTTAAGGTTTTAGGAAAAGTGTTTTAGTTTTAAGGTTTTAGGTGGTATTGTGCCCTATACAAGACCATAGACCTACATTCCTGCAGCTGCCTCAGTACCCTACCTTTCTCAAGGGCAGGCACCTTACATGCCTTGCACACCCACCACCTCAAGCTGACCACATCATGAGGAGCCAGTCTATCAGCATCCTGTCGACCAACATTAGAGGTTTCATTACTAATGTTGGAGAGCTCACACATAGTTTTGTGAACACTCGACGTCCCGACATGATAGCTGTTGTTGAAACATTTTTGGACGACAGGACTCCAGAAAATTTGCAAGAATTGCTGGCTACATCTCATGATGAGAAGAGACAGGCAAGGGCAAGGAGGAGGTGTTGCTGTGTGCTTCTCTAAAAGTGTTCATGCCCAGCACATTGATATTGCCGTCCCTACACATCTTGAAATGATGTTCTTCAAGCTCTACATAAACACTATTGCCTCTGTACTAGCATGTGCAATGTACAGACCTCAGTGACAACATGCAGACCCCATCAACTTCCTAATGGAAAATATGGACTCCCTTCTGCTACAACACAACTGTCAACATATCATAATTGTTGGTGACCTCAACCAACACCTTATACAGAGGGACTCTGATGACCTTCTTGCAGTATTTGACATGAGAAACTTTGTTGATTTCCCTACTCACATCTCTGGCTCCTCCTTTGACCCAGTAGTGAGTGATCTGGCAGAAGGTATAGTCACTTATCAACTCCTCGGCTACGTTGGATCATCTGACCACAAGGCTGTTTTTACGACACTTAAGATCCCAACAGAACGAGATGAGGTGTCCACACGCACAACCTGGCTATGGGAAAGAGGTAATTGGCCAGCCCTTTGCTCTGAGCTCGCCACCACCGATTGGAATGCTCTTCTCCAAGGGGATGTTGACAACCAAGTGAAAGCCTTCACTGGACACATCCTTAATCTACAACAAGAACACATTTATCACCGGCAATATGTGACGAAGCCTACAGATCAGCCTTGGTTTGGCTTTCTTTGTAGAGAGGCTGCTACTGCTAAGTACAAGGCATGACTAAGGTATAAGAGACATCCTACCACCTATAACAGGAACTTGCACGGGCAAGCCTGTAGGCATGTGGGTGACGTTCAAAAGTGGGCCATTGCTAAATGGAAGGTGGACACAAAAAGAAAGCTAGTATCAGGTAGGGTAGGCTCCAAAACCTGGTGATCCGTGGTCAAGGACAGACAAGGTTATCTGCCTGATGAACTCATTCCACCTCTAAATCGACAGGATGGGACCACCTCTAGTAGTAGTCCAGAGAAGGTGAACCTCTTTACCGAACACTTCGCTACCAAAATGCAAATTCCTGATCCAGCAAGGGACCCTCCTTGGCTAGCTGCAAGAACTGTGTCAAAACTGTCAGTGGTGACAAAAAGGCAGTGGTGACAATAAGGAGGTGCATTTCCTTCTTAAATCGCTTGACCAAGAAAAGAGGGTGGGCCGAGACAAGTTGAGCCCAAGATTGCTGAGAAGATGTGCAGACCAGCTAGCAACACCTCTAACTCGCATCTTTCAGCACTGCCTAGTACAGTGTAAATGGCCCTCTCTGTGGAAAGAGGCAAATGTAGTCCCTGTTCACAAAAAGAAGAGCAGAGCAGAAAACAACAACTACAGACCAGTGTCACTCCTGTCAATCACTGGTAAGATCCTTGAGACAATAATCTCAAGACAAATGACAGAGTTTTTTGACTACCACTCACTACTTTATGGCCGTCAATATGGCTTCAGGAAAGGTTACTCTGCTGCTGATCTGTTGTTAAACCTCTCCACTAAGTGGCACCAGTCACTAGATGAATCCAAAGTCAGCTGTGTGGTAGCACTGGACATTGCTGGTGTTTTCGACCGGGTGTGGCACTAGGGCCTCTTAGCAAAACTTCAAGCACTGGGAATTGCAGGCTCTACGCTATGTCTCCTCAGTAATTACCTTCATGGTAGATCTCTAAGGGTAGTTCTCAATGGAACGGAATCAGCAAGACATCCTACTGGGGCAAGTGATCCACAAGGAAGCGTGCTGGGACCATTGTTATGGAATGTCTACTTCAATGACCTTCTTCATCTCATCCCAGAATCTCATGCATATGCAGACGACTGTACACTGACATTCACTTATCCAAGAGAAGAAATGCCAGCTGCTCTAAGCTACATCAATCACCAGCTAAGAGCTATATCAGCTTAGGAAAATAGATGGCAAGTAACATTTGCACCTGAGAAAACGCAAATGATGATGGTCTCTAGGCACCATGATGGTAATGCTGGTGCAGTAGTAAGGATGAATGGGAGGGTGTTGGCACCTGGAGAAAAAGTTGATATCCTTGGGGTGAAATTTGACTACAAACTGACCATGAAAAACCATGTTCTAAATCTTGCAAACAAGGCAGCCAGGAAGCTTACAACACTTCGCCGTATCTCGCATCTGCTTGACAGTAGGGGTTGCAAGATTCTGTACGAGGCACAAGTACGCTCACACCTTGAGTATGCTCCACTTTCTGGGTTTGCCTGCCCCCCTTCTCATCTGCGACTGCTTGACAGAATAGAGAACAGAGCGAGACCTCTCATCTCTCGCCTGGACCCATCCTGGATAGATCTGTCATTTCAGCAGAGCCTTCAACACAGGAGGGATGTGGGTGGCCTTACTGTTATGTAAAAGGCCAATATTGTCAAAGTATTACACTTGGATCCACTTCGAGGACAGCGTGAAACAAGCTTTTATGCCACAAGACGGGCAGAAAGTAGCAACTTCACTCTGGTGTACCCTTCTCCAGAACATCACTCCATCTGAGATCATACATACCCAGGATGACTCGAGTATGGAACACATTCGTACAGCATAATGATGTCAACGAGATAAAGTCAGTTGATCAAATGAAAATGCTGGCCCACAGATGGCTCCAACTTCATCCTGTTCCCTACTTGTATGTCTCATAACAATAAAAATGCTTTCAAATAAGCTGATGTAGGTAACAGCTCTTAGCTTGCCAATAAAGCTAGGGATCCTTAACCTTGTCAAACCCTGTGTAAAAAAAAAAGTGTTTTAATTCTAAGCTTATAGAAAAAATGTTTTAGTTGCAAGGTTTTACAAAAAGTGTTTTAGTTCTGAGGTCAGAAGAAATGTGTTTTAGTTTTAAGATTTGAGAACAAGTGTATTTTAGTTCCACGGTATGAAAACAAGTACGTTTTAGTTTTATAGTTTTAGAACATGTAAGGTTTAGCTTTAGTGTTCGAGAACAATTCTGTTTTAGTTCTAGATGTTGGCAATGAGCTCTTGATTCAAGGCATTGACGCTACTCTCCCTCCATCAAATCAAACCTGATATGACTTTCATTCTCCAGACACAAAATGACTCCTACGAGTTCATATCTTTCCCAAGATTTGAAGAATCAAATGGATCATTGGTAACAATCGTAAGATAATGTAGTCCACATCTATAATTTTTTTATGCAATATTAAGTAATTTTAATCTTAGCCTAAGTCTGCTCAAAATGTATCCCATGGGCTCCAATAAACGCTATTACTTTCGCATATTACTTTGGCAATAATATATTATTCTTATTACGTAAATATTCCCACCGAGGTAATGTGACCCAAAAAATAAGGAAATACATTCACCATCAATTACTCAGTCGTTATCAATAACATCCTAAACACCTCATTTAGACTGTAGTCACTGTGCTTCCCACTTCTAAGATTCAAGTCCGGTTAACCGGTTTCCATGAATACTTTCATAAATATGGCTATCTGACCGGCGGTCAGACACTCTCTGGCCGCGGGTTCAAATCCCGCCCGTGGTATGGTTTTTTTATGGCTATCTGAATCGTGAATCCACACTCACAGGATCATTTAGATACAGCGGGTGGCAGTACTCTTCGATGGCATACACAAACTTGACATTATCCTTGGCCTCGGCCAGGTTGTGGGTCACCCTCGCGTCCATCTCCTTCCATGTCTTGAGTACCTTCGACCTCGCCAGCTGGAGCACCAACACCGCTCCACGTACCTGTCCAATGCAATGTTAGGTTAATATCTTAAACTAGGATATGACAGATACGCAAGGAACTGTAAGAATAACTGAGATTATCTTCTGAGAACCATCCACTTTTACCTAGATTAATTAAGAACCATCGTGTTAATATGTGTATGAGACTAGGATAGTAAATCAAAAGGCTCTCTCGACTTCTTGCAAATTATATTAGTCTTCGCCTATACTCTAACGTCAAGAATATTTTTATCCCTAACCAGGGATTAAACTCAGTTTATATACACTGAGATACACACTTCTAGGTGTATGTACTCTATATACTCAGGTGATGACAATTGTGTAATTAATTACTCATCTTCATTATCAGGCTGATTTAAATACCTGTAATAGTAAAGTTAAATTAATAATAATGCAAAATATAATGAATTAATAACTCATTACTGAGTATACAATAATTTTACCACAATTGTGCCAGAATTAACACCTCGAACTGTGCATGGATTTCTAGAACCTCAATGAGTCGTGAATTTCTGTCAGCGTTAGCTGAGGTGACTCCATCAGTTCAAAAAGAAAATTAAACTTAGCCTGACGTCTCCTCCAACTTTACCCGAGGCGATTCCATCTGTTCAGAGAGGAACTTGAACTTAGCCATCCGTCTCTTCCAGTATTCCAGCTCATCTTGAGGACCAGCCTCGTCACTCTCCTGTCTAAGCTGCTCCATCTCTATTAGCACCGACTCTGTAGGAGGACAGTGGTAATGGAAGGTGGCAGAAGTGGTAATGGAAGGTGGCAGAAGTGGTAATGGAAGGTGGCAGAAGTGCTAATGGAAGGTGGCAGAGTGATAATGCATGGTGGCAGAAGTGGTAACGGAAGGTGACAGAAGTGATAAGGGGAAGGGTTTGGCAAGTGGGAAGGGAAGGGGGAAAGAGTGATAAATGAAAGGGGTGGCAAAGTGGTAAGGGGAAGGGGTAGAAGTGGTAATGGAGGTGGCAGAGTGGGTTAATTTGGAAGTGGCAGAGGGCAAGGGGGGAAGGGTGGCAGAATTTGGAAAGGGAAGGGGTTTTAAAATTTGGTAAGGGAAAGGGTTTGGCAGAGGGTAAGGGGAAGGTGGAGAGGGGGTAAGGGAAAGGGTGGCAGAGTGGTAAGGGGAGGTGGCAGAGGAAAATTTGAAAGGGGTGGAAAGAAGGAGAAATGGAAGGGGGCAGAGGGGTTTAAATCCCAAAAGGGGCCAAAAGTGGTAACCCCAAGGGGGGCGAATTTGGAAATGGAAGGTGGCAGGGGGGGGTTAATGGAAGGTGGAGGGGGGTAAGGGAAAGGGTTTCAGAGTGGAAAATCCCCAAAGCGGCAGAGTGGTAACGCAAGGGGGCCCAGAAGTGGTAAGGGGAAGGGGGCAGGGGGGTAATGGAAGGTGGCAGAGTGGTAAGGAAGGGGCAGAAGGAAAATGGAAGGGGGCGGGAGCGATAATGGAAGGTGGCAGAGGGGTTAATCCCAAGGGGTGGCAGGGTTGGTAATAAAAAAAGGTGGCAAAAAGGGGAAAGGGAGGTGGCCGAGGGGTAAGGGAGCGGGCAGAGGGTAATGGAAGGGGGCCCAGATGGTATGAAGGTGGCGGAGTGGTAAGGGAAAAGGGGGCCCAGGCGGTAATGGGAGGGGGCAGAGTGATAATGAAAGGGGGGGCGAAGTGGTAATGAAAGGGGGCAGAGGGGAAATGAAAAGGGGCAGAGTGGAATTCAAGGGGGCAGAGTGATAATGAAAGGTGGCGAAGGGGAAAAGGGAAAGGGGTGGCAGAGGGGTAATGAAAGGTGGAGATTTGGAAATGAAAGGGTGGCAAAAGTGGTATAGAAGGTGGCAGAGTGATAATGGAAGGTGGAGAGGGGTAATGGAGGGGGGGCAAAATTGGAAAAGGGAAAGGGTGGCAGAGGGGGTTAAAGGAAGGTGGCAGACGGGGAAAGGGAAAGGGTGACAGAGTGGAAAGGGAAAGGGTGGCAGAGGGGGTTTAAAGGGAAAGGGGTGGCAGAGGGGTAAGGGAAAGGTGGCAAAATAAAGGGGGAAAGGTGGCAGATTGGAAAATCAAGGTGGCAAAAGGGGTAAGGGAAGGTGGCAAGTGATAATGGGGGTCCCCAAGATGGTATGGAGGTGGGAAAAAGGGGAAAGGGAAATGGGGGCCCAGAGTGGTAAGGGGAAGGTGGCAAACGGGGTTTTAATGGAAAGGGGCAAGGGTATGGAAGGGGGGCAGAGTGAAAATGCAAGGTGGCAAAAAGGGGGGAAAAGGGAAGGTGCCTAGTGGAAATGTAAGGTGGAAAGTGGAAAGGGGGAAGGGGGCAGAGGGGTAATGGAAGGCGGAGAGTGGTAAGGGGAAAGGGGGAAAGAGTGGTAATGGGGCGGCAGAAGTGGTAAGGGGAAGGGGCCCGAGTGGTAATGCAAGGGGGCAAAAATTTGGTAATGGAAGGTGGAAAAGGTGAAAATTGGAAGGTGGAGAGTGGTAATGGAGCGGGGGAGATTTGGTTAAAGGGGGGGGCCCCAAGTGGTAATGGAAGGGGCCCGAGTTTTTAATGAAAGGTGGCAAAGTGGTAATGGAAGGTGGAAGTGGAAATTTTAAGGTGGCAAGTTGAAATTTGGAGGTGGAAGATTTGGTTTAATGGAACGCGGCAAAGTGGCATTGGGAAGGTGAAAAAAAGGGGGAAAAAGGGAAGGGGGCAAAAAAATTAGGTAAGGGGAGGGGGCGAAGGGGTAATAAAAGGGTGGCAGAAGGGGTAATGAAAGGTGGCAGAAGTGGTAATGGAAGGGTGGCAAATTTTTTTAAGGGAAAGGTGGCAGAATGGTAAGGGAAAGGTGGCAGAGTGGTAATGCAAGGTGGCAGAAGGGGCAATGGAAGGGGGCGAAGTGGTAATGGAAGGTGGCAGAAGTGGTAATGGAAGAGGGGGCAGAAGTGGTAATGGGAAGGGGGCAAAGTGGTAATGCAAGAGGCAGAAAAGGTAGCAAACAAGATGGCAGAAGTGGAAATTTGGAAGGGTGGCGAAGGGAAAGGGGGAAGGTGGCAGATTGTTAATGGAAGGTGGCGGGAAGGGGAAAATGGAAGGTGGTAAATTTGGTAAGGGAAAAGGTGGCAGGGGTGTTAATGCAAGGTGGCAAAAAGTTTTTTAATAAAAAAGGGTTGGCGAGGGGAAAGGGGAAGGGTGGCAGAAGGGTAAGGGAAGGGTGGCGGGTTGGAAATGGAAGGTGGCAGAGGGGTTTAAGGGGGAATTTTTGGCAGAGAGGTAAGGGAAAAGGGGGCAGAAAGGTGATAAGGGAAAGGGTTCAGAGTGGAAATGCAAGGTGGCAAGGGGTTAATGCAAGGGGGAAAAAAGGGTGGTAATGGAAGGAGCAGGGGTGGTAATGGGGGGGCGGGGAAAGAGTGGAAATGGAAGGGGGGAGAAGGGGAAAAGGAAGGGGGCAGAGGGGAAAGGGAAGGCGGAAACGGGTGGTAAGGGGAGGTGGCAGATTGACAAATTTAAGGTGGCAAAAGGGTGGAAATAGAAGGGGGCAGAGTGGTAAGGGAAAAAGGGCGGCAGAGTGGAAATTAAAGGGTTTGGGCAAAGTGATAATGGAAGGGGGCCCAGAGTGGAAAATGCAAGGTGGCAGAGTGGTAATGAAAAGGTGGCAAAGGGGTAATGGAATGGGGCCCAGAGGATAAGGAAAGGTGGCAAAAGGTGGTAATGGAGCGTGGCAAAAGTGGTAATGGAAGGGGGAAAATTTGGGTAAGGGAAGGGGGCAGAAGTTTTTAAGGAAAGGGGGCCCTGATGGAAAAGGAGCGGGGCAGAGTGGAAAAAGGAAGGGGAAGGTGGAAAAGGAAGGGGGGCAGAGGGGTTTAATTTGGAAGGGGGCAGAGAGGTAAGGGAAGGAGGGCAAAATGATAATAAAAGGTGGCGAGTGGTAAGGGCAAGGTGGCAGAGTGGTAAGGGGAAGGGGGCCCCGAAGTTGAATGGAAGGGGAAAGAGTGATAAGGGAAATTTGTGGCAGAGTGGTAATGGAATGGGGGGCAGAGGGGATAAGGGAAAGGGGTGACAGACGTGGAAAGGGAAAGGGGGGCAGAGTGGTAATGGAAGGGGGCAAGTGAAAAATGCAATGGGGCAAAAGGGGTTTAATGGAAGGGCTAGTGGAAAGGGTAAGGTGGCAGAGGGGAAAAGGGGAAGGTGGCAGAGTGAAAATAAAGTGGGCCCAGGTGGTAATGGAAGGGGGACAGAAGTTTAAGGGAAGGTGGCGAGTGGTAAAAAGAAGGGGGGAAAAAGGGGTAATAGAAGGTGGCAGAGTGGAAATGGAAGGTGGCAGAGTGGTAATGGAGCGGGGAGAGTGGCAAGGGAAAGGTGGGCAGAGTGGTAAGGGAAAAAGGGTGGCAGAGTGATAATGAAAGGTGGCAGAAGGGGAAATGGAAGGTGCATATTGGAAATGTAAGGTGGCAGAGTTGTAATGGAACGGAAGAGTTTAATGGAAGGCGCAGAAGGGGAAATTTGGAAGGGGGCAAATTGGTAAGGAAGGGGGCAGAATTTGGAAATTTGGGGGGGCGGCAAAATGCAGAAGGGGTTTTAATGGAAGGGGCAAAATGGTAATGGAAGGTGGCAGAAGGGTAATGGAGGTGGCGGGAAAGTGGTAATGGAAGGTGGCAGAAGGGGTAAGGGAAAGGGGGCAGAAGGGGAAATGGAAGTGGCAGAAGTGGTAAGGGAAAAGGTGGCAGAAGCGGAATGGAAGGGGGAAAGTGGAAAGGGGAAGGGTTTGGCAGAAGGGGGAAAAGGGGAAGGTGACAAAAGGGGTAAGGAAGGGGGGCAGAAGGGGTTTTAAGGGAAGGTGGCAGAGGGGTTTAAGGGGAAGGGGAAGAGCGGTTTGGAAGGCGGCAGAAGTGGCAAGGGAAAAGGGTGGCAGAAGGGGTAAGGGAAAAAGGGTGGCAGAAGGGTAATGGGGGCGGCAGAAGGGGGTAAGGGGAAGGTGGCAGAAGTGGTAAGGAAGGGGAAAAATTTGGTAAGGGAAAGGGGTGGCAGAAGTTGGTAATGGAAGGTGGGGGGGGAAGGGGTTAAGGGGAAGGGGGCGGAAGGGGTTTGGGGGAAAAGGTGGTAGAGGGGTAATGCAGGTGGCAGAAGTGGCAAGGAAGGGGGCAGAAATGTTAATGGAAGGGGGGCGAAGGGGAAAGGGAAAGGGTGGCAGAAGTGGTAATGGAAGGGGGCGGGAAGTGGTAATGGAAGGGGGCAGAGGGGTTTAATGCAAGGTGGAGAAGTGGCAATGGAAGGTGGCGGGAGTGGTAAGGGAAGGGGGAAAGAGTGAAAAAATGGAAGGGGGAGAGTGGTAAGGGGGAGGGGGCGAGGGGTTTAATGGAAGGTGCAGAGTGGTAGGGAAAGGGGAAAACTTTGGTAATGGAAGGTGGCGAGTGGAAAATGGAAGGGGGGCCCGGGATTGATAATGAAAGGGTTGGCAGAATTGGTAAGGGGAAAAGGGGGCATGGGGAAAATGTAAGGGGGCAGAGGGGTTTAAGGGAAAGGTGGCAGGGGTAATGGAAGGGGGCAGAGGGGGAAATGGAAGGGTTGGAAAGAATTGGTAATGGAAGATGGCAGAGGTGGTAATCCCAATGGAAAAAAGAGTAATGGAAGGGGGGGCAGAGTGATAAGGGAAGGGTTTGGAGAGTGGAAATGGGCGTGCAGAGGGAAAATGGAAGGTGGTAGAGTGGGTTAAGGGAAAATTTGGGCAAGGGGTAAGGGGAAGGCGGCAGAGTGGTAATGGGAGGGGGCAGGGTGTTAAGTAAGGTGGCAGAATTTGGTTAAGGGGAAAGGGGGGAAACAGTAAAAAGGGAAAAGGGGC